CCCTTTTCATGAGTTATTAGTAGTTTAGTACCATCTTTCCTTCTTTTGGGGATGCAGAAGTATCTGTTTTTGATATTCGAATGCAAATACCAACTATATTTTTCAATTTCTTCCTAATAGCAATATGGAGATATCAGAACTCTCTATACCACATGTAAGCACAGAGGATTTGTGATGATATCTTACTATGATATCAGAGCTGCTCGCACTGCAATGCGGGCATTGCAAAACAAGCCCTTAAGACGAAGAAAACTTGATATTCATTTTTCAATTCCCAAGGTCTGAACCAAGATATCCCTTCTTTAATAATGAAACTGTTGAATGGATGAGCACCTATTTGATATTATTTCTTGCTACATCCAGGATAACCCATCGGAGAAAGATGTTAACCAAGGAACTCTTGTGGTCTTCAATTTGGATGCATCAGTGTCCAACGATGACCTCCACCTAATATTTGGGGCTTATGGAGAAGTTAAGGAGGTGAGAATTTGTTACACTTATCTGGTTGTCATTGTTATTTCTGTTGCATTTATTTATTTATATTGTAGCTTCCCTAGGAATTCCTCATCTTCTGTTGGCTGAGCTGCATTAGTTTTCCTTTTTACAAAATGTAGATCAGGGAAACACCCCACAAACGACATCACAAGTTCATTGAGTTTTATGATGTTAGAGCTGCAGATGCAGCTCTGAAGGCTTTAAATAGAAGTGATATCGCTGGGAAGCGTATAAAACTTGAACCTAGCCGGCCTGGTGGAGCTCGTCGGAGGTACATTTCATATTTTAAATGCTGATGTCGGAGTGAACCTGTTTTCTCATGTCGTTTTCCTGCTTTTCTGTTTGTATTTTATTTATTTATTTTTTGTGTGGACAATTAATTACACAACTTCCTGTCATTATTCTTTTTATTTACTTATTTGTTAATTTACATGCATAATAAATGGTCGCTGTCAACGTCCACGTGTTACTCTTCTTTTCTTAAATATAATGTAACTGGGATAAGAGGAAGTATCATAAATTGGGTCTTGTCATTTGTATTTTAATTGAAAAAATGTGAAAATCATTAAATAGCAGATGCATTTAGCTTTGCTGAAGCTCAATATCTGTTTGGAAAAGAATGCTTTCCATGGCATCAGACTGCACAATATATATATATATATATATATTTTTTTTTTAACTGGCTGTTGAACATACTCGTCACAGTACTGCAATCTTGATATGTAGCTGGATTTTTTATGTTGGTAGCTTGGATTACACAAAAAGTTTGCTCCATTCATGCCCGTCATTTTTAGGGATCTAGGTGGAAGAATTATCTCCCAAGTCCTTGGACTTTGTCCCCTAAAAATCATCAATTTTTCAAATAAAGTTTGATACAGCATTTGCTACTGTTGGCTTATCTTTTTTTCCTCGGTCAATTAGGTTCCATCTTTTTATCACACTTCATATCACTTGGATAGTTAGTTCAATGCAAGTCATGTTCTAGTTGAAAGGGCAACCAATGAGTTGTTTGTTCTTTTCTTGTATAGCTTAATGCTGCAACTGAATCAAGAGCGAGAACAAGATGAATCTCGACCTTTCCACCATCAAGTTGGTTCACCTGTAACCAACTCTCCTCCAGGTACATTGATGGATGATCTACATTAAAATGGCGAGCACTTGCTGATTTTATGTCTATAATCATGGCACCAGTGTTTGCACTTGCAGGTAGCTGGGCAAATTTTGGGAGTCCAGTCGATCACAATTCATTTCCTGATTTTAGTCGGTCACCTGTTTTAGGGAACCTCAGCCCTGTTGGAAGTAATCACTTGCCTGGCTTGGCCTCTATCCTTCCATCCCAGGTCTCAAATCCCGTGAAGATTGCACCAATTGGTAAAGACCCTGGAAGGATAAGCCATATGCAGTTAATTACTAAGGCTAATGCAGAACAAGGAGCAACTTATCAGCAGCATTTTTCTGTTCCTGATTCTACATTCAGTTCAAGTCCTGGACCCGTGTCATCATTTGGTGATTCAAAGTCATCTAGCATTGGGACGCTTTCTGGTCCTCAGTTTCTATGGGGAAGTCCTACTATTCACTCCAGGTATGTTCGGTACAGGTACTGAACTACACTTTAGAGGATAAGAAACAACATTTCAACTTTTTATTCTTTAATCCTGCACAGTAGTGTCCAATCCAACATGCCAAAAGTTCCATCAGAGCACATGAATTCTGCTTGGTCATCATCCTTGAAGGGACCTACGTTTTCATCCACTGGACAAAGAACTGGTTATCCTTATCACAGCGGGCATGGCTCATTTCTGGGTTCACATCACGTTGGATCCGCTCCATCTGGTATTCAACTAGAAAGCAATTTTGGTTTTTCTACAGTCTCACAAGAATCATCCCAAATAAGTCGAGCTGCAATTGGAGCCACAAACTTAGGTCGCAACAGTGGGAATCATGCCATGAATATGGTTGCCCAGGGGGCTCTGAACATGGGCGTTGCTTTTACAGGAAATTTTTCTGAAGGTAGTTCTCCGAGTTCCAGGATGATGCCAATGTCCAGAAATTCTCCCATGTTTTTCGGAACTGGTTCTTATGGAGGCATGGGAGCAACTGCAACTGATGGATTGATGGACTGCTATCGAAATAGAAGAGCTGACAGTGGAAGCCAGATGGAAGACAGAAGGCAGTATCAACTTGATTTGGAAAAGATCATCAATGGGGAAGATAATAGGACTACTTTGATGATTAAAAATATCCCCAACAAGTATGAACTGATAACAATTTAAATATCCATTTTTTTTTTTTTTGAAACTGTGGATTCCTGCTGCATTTTTATTTTCTTTATTTGAAGGTACACCTCAAAGATGCTACTTACGGCTATTGATGAAACTCACAAGGGTACATATGATTTCCTCTATCTGCCAATTGATTTTAAGGTGAGTTTACTGTAGAGGACAGTTATATACTTTTGTGCTTAACTCAAAATTATACACTGTGTGAACTCAATACCCTCAACTCCTACTGCCTAGAATAAGTGCAATGTGGGGTATGCTTTCATCAACATGGTGTCTTCTTCACACATCATCACCTTCTACGAGGTTCGAGTTTCTTTCCTTTGTACCTTTACTTTTGGGTCATCTCTATTAGATATCATATCACCTCAGGATACTAAAATATGAGAGCAACTAATGTTAAAGCTTGGGAACATTTTACAATTGCTATTCTCTAATCACCCTCACAAGCCACATAATCATAGATTTTATTTATTGAAAACTCCGGAAATCTGTTCAGTGACAAATGGACTTGTCTCTTGTAAATCTGTGCAGGCATTTAATGGAAAGAAATGGGAAAAGTTCAATAGCGAAAAGGTTGCCTCTCTGGCATATGCGAGAATCCAGGGACAGGCGGCTCTTGTTTCACATTTCCAAAATTCAAGTTTAATGAATGAAGACAAACGGTGCCGACCAATTCTCTTCCAGTTAGAGGGCCAAGGGATCAAAGATCTGGTATGTGAAACTAGTTACAATCTTTTTTCACACTTCATGACTTAGCACCTGTTTGATAGGATTAAAATCTATATTTTAATTTAAGTCAAAGTCAACAGTTAATTTTAACCTCATATTTCAAAGGATTCACAACTTTTCAACCACATATGTCATCAATTTTTATCAAAATGTACTAAAATTTGATTTTAATTCCCATCAAACAGGGGCTTAATAATGTTGAGATCTATCATTTTCTAACTAAGTAAAAGTAAAGTGAGTAAAAATTTGTCCTACTAATAAATTTTGTCATGTTTTCTAGTTAGAGTTTTATTGACCAATTATTTCTCAAACTGTATCTGAAGGAAAAAGTTTTGGTGGCTTTTCCTATTATTTTATTACATTACATTTTAGTTTTTCAAGAATAATATAAAATCTATGAACCTCTGGTTGAACACTAAATATTTATCTTTCCATTATTATTATTATTTTTTAATTTCTCTTGCCATTTGGTGATCTGATTTAAAAGGATTTTTGCGTCTCTCAGGAACCTAGACATACTAGTAACCTGAACATCTTCATACGTCAGCCTGATGGAACTTATGTTGGGGATTCTCTGGACAGCCCAAAGAGTAATCCAGATGAGTAGCTGGAGAAAAGTGGACCACTCCCTTAAAGTGGATGACTCCAAACTAGAATTGGTGGACAGTAAATGCTAACTCTCGTACAGCTTTTATGTCGTAGTTTATTGTATTACCTGTGAACTGGAATGATATTACTGGAGTGTCTGCTTTTCAACATGGATACTCCGTATTATCTTGGAAGAAACATTTGACAGGGCAAAGGGAGTGTTCTGTTTATATGCACACCGGCAAATGATTTTAACAGGGCGAGGTAATTAGAGTGAAGTTTAGCATCAACTGATATGTGAAGTTCTCTCCTTTTTATTTTGCTCCATTTTTTGGTCCAGTTCTCACGACTGCTTAGCAGTCTTACTAAATGTATAGTAGTTTATAGAGCTGGGGAGGGTCAGAAATATGTATAGAAGGGAACTACAAAAAGGCCTGTGAATTCTGATTTTGTACACAGGAAACTGTGTATGTGATATGAATTTGCATGACTTCTTTTGATCCTTACCGGTTTACCTTATAAATTCTGGCTCTCTTTACAATTGCTCGTATTCTGTTTTTGTACAATTCATGCTAGCTAAGAATGAAGCTTCTTACAAACTGAGCGTCTTCTTGGAGATACGTGGTACGTCTTATGTTAAAAAAAAAAATAAAAAAAAATCCAACTGTTTATATTTCTTAAAATAATAATACGTTGATCTAGTCACCATGGACTGGTTTCCAGTGGTGGAGCCACGTTGACATGCCCGCACTGAAATTTTAGGCCCAATTTTATTTTTATTTATTATTATTATTATTATTTTTAAAGCAACAGGGGAGGTGGAATAAAAATATGTTTTAATTTACATGGGTTTTATTTTTAGGTTTAAATCCATGATTTTGTTTTATAGTTTTATCATAATTAAATTCATGATCAAAATACAATGTTCGACATTGGTTAAATTATGTCCATACTGAACAAATTTTTTGGTTCCGCGCACGCTGGTTTCAGCTGTTTAGACTTGTGTTTTCACAAGGAAAATGATGTATATAATGTACGGAGAACCCAGAATCTAGACCCTCAAGGCTTTTCGTCCCAACTTTTAAAATTGGATTTTTGAGTCCTCAAGTGTCCCTGATTAGTTCTTTTAAAATTGGGAATTTGTTCTTCCCTCGGGAGTGCAAGGGGGACGAAGGCAATATTGTTGAAGAATAACAATAGGGTTTCTGGCATTTTGCATGACAATGTCCTCAAATCTCATATTAGAAGCCAAACTGTTTAAAGATGGTGTCCATGTTTTGATTCTTACACCTTTTCCAGTCCCGGTAAAGGTGCAATTTCTTGTGCTCATATAATCCCTCTCATGGTCTCTTCCAAGGCTTCCAATACTGATGCCATGTCCCGGCCCACAAAAAACATCAGATACGTTGATATTTTGATTGTTAGCAACCATGGCTACGCAATCATCGTCGATTCCAATAGTTAACCAATAACTGCATTTTGTGCACTTATTCGAGCCAATTACTAAGTTTGAATGTTGTCAAAGTGTTAAATTTTACTTAACTTAGGTTGAATTTCTCTTGTTTAAGTTTTGGACCTGTTCATATGCAATTGAAAAAGAAAGAGGGATGAATTGATGATTGGATGGGAGGTTGGGGATTAATGTGCCCATGAGAATAAGTTAAACGATAAAACTAATTTGTAGTGGAAGACCAAAAGAGAAGAAAGTATGAAGAAAAAGACTAAAAAGAGAATTTTGAAAGTTACCTACCCCCCCTCCCCCACCCCCAAAAAAAGGGAAAATAGTCGGGCGGTCGCCCGAATTGAAGTTTCGAAAGCAGGGATGAATCCATGTGCCCAATTGGTCGCCCGATTTTTAATTGGGCACCTGCCTTGCCTACTAGGCCGATCGCAACAAGAGTCCTTTTTGTTTTGAATTCTTTTCCAACAAGAACTCTTCATCCTGGGTCAATTTCTAGACTTTTTGGAGACTTGTGAGAGACATATAAATAGAAGATATTAACTCTAAAGAAGGTGGGACAATTATTTACAAAAAGAGACAGAGAGCACAAGATCAAATGTAAGAAATCCAAAGATCAAATTCAGGAATTTCGGGTGATGAACAATTTTTATTTATTTTATTTTCTTCTCCGCAATATGTTAGGTTAAAGTAATTTAGTATTAGGATTACGATGAATCTTGTATCATGAACTTTTAACTCTTGATTTTATTTATTTTTTAACATCACAACACGTTTTTAATTTCAAATAATTGATTTGGGTTTGTTATTCTCTACGATTATATGTGCAATGGTTGTATAAGTGTTATGGCTTGTTTTATCTTCTAAAGACTAAAAATAAGTTAGATAAAGTGTCAATTGTCATAGAATCTGATATATGATAGAAGTTGTTGACGTCAAAATTAGCAAGGCTAATTTTATGCCAACTTTAAGAAAAATGAAAATTTATTATTGAAAGAAACCACAAAATATGTTAAGAAAGTGTAATTGTGCCATGAGCTTTTACATGAATTCACTTGCCTTTTACAAGATTTCTGCCCTACTATTTATACATGGCTCCAGTTGAAATTACATCAAATTAGCTACAGTACCGAACTCGAAACTCGGGTCGTCGAATTCTCTTGTGATTGGTCGACAAGGCAGGTGGCCATGTGTCAATATTTTCCCCAGGTAATGATGACCTGCAAGGGGCTTGAGAATCATGGCTTTGGATTGGCAGTTTTGGGTGGTGATGACGTCACTTATTGCAAGTGTATATGATTGATAGGGTGATGTGACAGGATTGATAGGGTGATGTGATAGGAGGTAATCATGATATTTTCTTGAGATAATGGCAGGCAAAAGTCCGATCTGGGAGCAGTGACCAAACTCACATCTGCCTGTGGTGGGTTTAGCGAATTGTTTTTGTTAGATCGGAGTTCAATGGTCAACAGTCACCCCCCAGGTCAGTTCTGCTGTGAGGAGGAGCTGACCTTCCATCTTATCGAACCCTTTTTTCGAGGGGTTCGATTATTATTGTGCCAAGTGTCACGTTTTTTATAGGGATGAGCTATATGGCATTTTAGACAGCTTCTTTGAGAAGTTTCATGAAGAGACCGTTTAGACTACCTAGCCTTTTCTGTCGTTTGATCTTTTCCTCCTTTTTTGAATGGACGGTCTGATTTCAGACTCTTTGACTTCTCTTCCTTTTAAATCCCTTTTGGCCTTTCATTTTTCCTTTTTATTTTATGCAATTTTCTCTCTAAGGTAGCAAGATATTCCCTATATGCCCTATCTTTCTTTTGAGTGAGGTCATCTTTCCTTTGATTTCCCAGGTATTCCTTCGCTTTTTCTCTTCATCCTTCCTATTCGTATTTTCATTTTGATCTTTATATGAGTTCGGACGAGTCTAGAGTACACTCCTGGGGAAACCAGTAGGAAGAATCTGTTCCTTCTTCGTCAAGCTTGTCGTCCAGTTGTAAAGAAATCTTTACTCCTGTCCCTATCTCCATAGTTAACCCAGTGGACCTAGGATGTACTGTCATGGAATCTGGTGGTAAGGGCTCAGGGAGGGAGGTTGGGGACGTTAGGGATGTTGAGGGAGGTATCCTTGAGAGGTGGGAAGCAAGTTCTTACAGGTCGGTTGTCACGGCAGACATGTTAGCTAGTTGGCGAGCTAAATACGCGATTTCAAGTTCGATAGTAATGATTATACCAGAACCTTCTGACTGAGCTGACAATCCCCTAGAAGAATGTGTTGCTTTAAATTCGGTCATACTTCAGGCTGGTCTTAGACTACCATTCTCAAGGGTAGTTCATAAGTTTCTTTCTTCTTGAGGCATAGCTCCCACGCCGTTATGCCCCAGTGGGTAGCAAACCTTAATTGCAGCCCTCATTCTCTGGGATAGGATGGGGAATCCTGAGCTGAGCGTTCGACAATTCAATTCACTATTTACATTCAAAGAGGATGGAAAGAACTTCGGTTGGTGGTATACTAGCGTTAGACCGAGGATCGGGGAGGGTCATTAGTGCTGGACACTCCTTCCTCGATCAAAAAATGGAAGGAAGAGTTCTTTTACGTGTCTGGGGAGTGGCAATTCCACCCTTTCGAGGTGAACAGAGAGGATGTGGTTCCCCTGCTCTACCACTCTTTGTGTAAGTTTTTTTATGATCTGACCTTTTGACGAGGTGAGCATTGATGTAGTACTGACCTTTGCCTTGTTTGCAGATTACAAGAAGGAGACCCTGACCAAGGACACGCATCGACGAGCTGAGGTGATAAGGGCATTGCCAAAGAGGCAGAGGTCTTGCAAATTTGTGATTTCGAATTCGAACTTATTCCAGGCTGATTTAGTGTAAGTGCAAGCGTCTAGTTCGCCGGTCCCCGCAGAATCTACTTCTGCTTCCCCTAGCTCAAGTAATAGCAGAGTTTTGTGTGTGTGTGTGTAGGGCATTTGAAGTAGCCGAAGCAGGTTCCTAGGGAAGAAGCAAATCCCGATCCCTCAGCATCAAAATCATTCGTATCAACTCTTTTTTAACTGCTTTATTCTGTATTTCAACTCATAACTCAGAGATGCTGGAGTATAAAGCGGCCAAGGCTGAAGCGTCAGCAAAGGCAAAAAAGAGGGATGTTCCAGATTGGTTAGAGAGCCGTTCTCAAGAGGTAGAAGAGGAGGTTCCATTGAAGAGGAATCGAACTTCCATGTCGGCTACTCCACTCATACTTGAGGCCGTTCCTTTGCTGAGTTCTTCTCCCATGGTGGCCATCACTCTGCCGTCACCAACTCCTCCCTCTCCTGCTCCAGTTGCAGCCTCCGTAGTTGGGACCAGCTTAGTTAGGTCGCAGGAGGGGTGCCCTGACCTTCATCGGCTGTGCTTAGACAGTTTGGTGGGCAACTGACCAGAGATCCTTCTCAACTATCTCTATGTTTCATCTCCCCCTAGAGAGGTGACAGCTGCATTCACCTCACCTTTGCAGGAATCAGCAAACTTGTTCACCAGGAGCTGAGGTGAGAGAGAGCAGGGTTATCTAAATGAGATGCCCATTGGCGAGGCCCTAGTTACTACACTACTCCACGGTCACCGATCCATCTTGTAGATGATGGCCATCGCAGATAAGGTATTCTTGGTTTGTGCTGTGCTTTATGATTTTTTATTTGACTATTTTATTGACTTAGAGACTTTTTGATGTTTTGGAAAACAAGTGAAGTTCGAGCTGGACAAGTTGATGGAGGCTTAGGATCAACCCTTCAACCTTTACCAAAGTATGGAGGTTGAGAAGCTTAGTTCGCTCTGAAGGAAAAGGAGTACAAAGAAAATCATAACCAGATGGGAATTGAGCTGAACTCCAGGCTCGATCAAGAGGAGAGATTTATGAGAGAGACTATAGCTCTGAGGGCCTCGGAGGAAGAGGCCAGAGGTCGGGCTGAAGAGGAGAAAAGAAAATTTAAGGAGGAGCGAGCTAAGGTTGTGGAGGCAGTCCAGAAGATGCATGAGGCAAATGAAAGGGCCAGGGAGGCTGCCGAAAGG